GTAACTCTTTAGCTTGACATATTGCTGAAGGCCCTCTTTGAGATTCCAAAGCTTTATCCTTGTACTTGAATAGAGTTGAGCTTCCTAGGATGTTATCANAAACATTCCTGCCTCGTGAACCGGCAGCATGGAGTGCTTTGAACTTTCTTGGAACTATGAATAATAGAGGATGCATGACATATTGGCTCAATATAATCCAGGTATGTTATGCAATACAGTGATTTAGGATTTTCTGTAGAAAGTAGAAGATAATGTTCTTCAGTGGGGAGTCTCTTCTCTTGTAACTATCCTCTTATTTTATGAGCTGTCTAAACTTACAGAATCTTGTCGACACAAAGCTGCCTTATCTCGTAACCATCGATCCTCCTCACACACCAGATCATACATTGCTTAAGTGGACAACATGCCACCTAGTCCCCTCAGTTGCTGCATCAAAAGCTTCACGGGAGCTAGATCAAATCCAAGGGAAGAGAGGAATATGGTTTTGTGGAGCATATCAAGGTATGAATCTCCTTTTATGCAGAGTACAGAGAGTTGCTTCAAGATGGAAATCCTTTGTAACCTTCTATCTTGTCTAGTGTTGAGTGTGCGAACAAAGTCCCACATTGGTAGCTAAAAAGAAAAGGAAGTGACATATAAGTTGTAGGGATATTCTTAAGGATGAGGCCTTTTGGAGAAAACAGTGCGAGCTTGGCCCAAGGCGGGCTATACTATTTAGATGAAATAGCCCTAACCATTGGGATTGAGGGGACTAAACCAGCAGCCAAGCTGTCTTTGCAAAGAGTGATTCATTCACTTTTTTTCCGCATAAGGTTAAAGGAAAACAACTGCCAATGCTTGTAGCTTGAGTTGTTCTGACTTTAGTCTTTCCTTCCCTTTAGTGCAGACTTTATTTTCCGCTTTGTGTTTCACTGCTTATTGATGTATATTTATTGCAATACTTTCAGGCTATGGCTTCCATGAGGACGAACTAAAGGTAGTCCAACTTCCATTAATGACAAGCTCAACAGATTTTAACTTTAAGTATCACCTTACTCTGAAAACAATTTGGAGCCTTTTCCAGCTTTTGTTATTCCTTTGATGCCAAGTGGATGATTACTACATTTGCTCCTCCTCAGGCGGGTGTGGCTGCTGCAGATGACATACTTAGAAGGAAATGTACCATCCTGGACAATCCCAAGCACATGGTACCAACCTGGCCTGAAACAGGAGCACGCCTCCTCGTTACTAGATTTCTCAAAAGTTTCATTGCAACTGGATGCATAATGTGAGTGATAATAGTTTCGCCTTGTGTTGCTTTAATCCAAAAATATTAGCAGATACATATCTAACAAATTGTTTATTTCCATCTATATTATTTGAATGGTAGCAAGATGCAGAACGACCATTTTATTGAGAAAATGCACTTCTTATATTAAAATCGATTGACTTAAAGCTCATGTACAAGTCAAAAAGTGTGTTGTAAAACAAATCATGTGTGAATCGAGATTTATTGTACTTTTTGTTTTGTATTATTCCTTCAATTATACATAGCTTCAGAATAGTCTGAATTATTCATGCTGGAAGTGTTGGAATATTACTCGCGCATATTTGAGTTTCTTTTTTCTAATATTTAAAGATATTGGATAGTAACTTTATATTTTTTGATACACAGCTTGTTGGAAGATGGAGGTACAATATTCACCTTCCAAGTAACAGACAGGAAATGCACTCTCAAAGTTTCTCTTAGAGTTCATAGTACACAGTTTTACTGGAAGGTAACTTGAAAGTTTCTTTTGCCCCCTACAAGTAGGGCAGCCCGGTGCACTAAGCTCCCGCTATGCGCGGTGTCCGGGGAAGGACCGGACCGCAAGGGTCTATTGTACACAGCCTTACCCTGCATTTCTGCAAGAGGCTGTTTCCATAGCTCGAACCTGTAACCTCCTGGTCACATGGCAGCAATTTTACCAATTACGCCAAGGCTTCCCTTCCGGCCTCTACAAGTAATCGAGCGATAAAGCCAAAAAGAAAAATTAAAAGTTTTCCAATTTAGACAAATTTTGTGATATAGATAGTCTCTTGTAGGTTGCAACTCAAGGTGACTTAGGCCTTGCTGATGCTTTTATTCATGGGGATTTCTCTTTTGTTGACAAGAATGAAGGTCTTCTTAATCTTTTCATGGTGAGAAAATGACTAAACGTATTCGTAAGTAGCTTTTGGTTTGTACTTAACTTCCTGAAATTCTTTTTCAGATATTTGTTGCCAACAGAGATTTGAAAGCATCAGTCACAAGGTCTAGCAACAAAAGGTAAGTAGTTTATTAAAACTGAAATCAGGAAATTGCAACTTATGTTCATACCGTAAATTTTTTTTGTTACTTTGTTCTCCAGAGGCTGGTGGACACCACTGCTTTCTACAGCAGCGTTATCATCTGCAAAATATTTCATTCAACATGTCTCAAATCAAAACACCCTGACAAAGGCTCGACGGAATATCTCTCGCCATTATGACCTGGTAATTAAATAACTTGCATCTTATATCACTCAAAGTATGTTGTGGATGTCAAAGATCACTATTGAAATAGAAGTTACTTAATCCTATATCTAATTTTTATTGTATAGATTACTCTCTTAATTCTGTTTTCATGTAATTTTCTTGTTTAAAATAGGCTGCTAGATTGATCAGCATTATGTTGTTAACTTTTTGTTCAGAGTAATGAACTCTTCTCACTCTTTTTGGATGAGACAATGACATACTCCTGTGCTATATTCAAGGTTAGCTCTCATTTTTTAAATTCTTTCTACTTTTTTCTGCATTTCTTGTTCTTTAATCTCATTCCGTGGTGATCTAGTTTTCTTTCTTAATTTCCCTAGAGTGAGGATGAAGACCTGAAAACTGCACAACTTAGAAAGATTTCTCTTCTCATCAAAAAGGTAAATCATCAACTAAGTAGAAATCTTCCCCATTTCTACATATATTTCAGGCACAGTTTTTAGAGGGGGGTCTTGGAGCAACGGTAAAGTTATTTCCGTGTGACGTATAGGCTATGGGTTGGAGCTGTAGAAGCAGCCACTAATGCTTGCATTAGGGTAGGCTGTATACATCACACTCTCTTGGGGTGCGACCCTTTCCTGGACCTATGTCAATGCGGGATTCTTTGTGCACCGGGCTGCCCTACCACTTCAGGCACAATTTGATTCTGCTTCTCTTTTTAGGCAAAAATTAGCAAGGAACATCACATTTTAGAGATTGGATTTGGTTGGGGAAGTTTGGCTGTGGAAGTTGTTAAGCAAACAGGATGTAAATACACTGGTGTAACTCTCTCTGAGCAGCAACTTACGTATGCACAGTTGATAGTTGAACAAGCAGGCCTTCAGGTATAGTACTTAAAATGTGTATGGAAGCTCAAAATGTTTGAGTTCAGAATTTCATTCTCGTTTTTCCATAATATTCAATTCAATGAAACTTTTTCACAGGATCAAATAACATTTCTCCTATGTGACTATCGCCAAATGCCAAATAAGGACAAATATGACAGGATTATATCATGGTGAGGTTTTATCAGTCTTCGTCTGGACATATTGTATTACATTACATGTCGAGCCAGTGTTAAAATTGTACTACTGATAATTTTCAGCGGGATGTTAGAACATGTTGGTCATGATTTCATGGGGGAATTCTTTTCTTGCTGTGAATCTGCACTGGCAGAAGACGGGCTTCTAGTTGTACAGGTAATGAATTAAAGTCATGACCCCTCAACACATTCCACTTTGTTCACTTTTCCCTTCAAATGTTTATGCTGATTTTCAAAGTGTTGGCTTTCCTTAGTTCATTTCAATACCAGACGAGAGGTATGACGAATACAGGCAGAGCTCAGACTTCATAAAAGAGTATATATTCCCAGGTGGATGCTTGCCTGCACTAAATCGAGTAACATCAGCTATGGCTGCAGCATCCAGACTATGGTAACAAAGATTTCATTTTGTGATTTTGCACTAGCATGCTGTCACATTTTGTTGATGTTGTTACTACTTGCGGCCAGTGCTTTTTTCATCTACTCTCTAGCCGAGGGTCTATAGGAAACAACCCTCTACCCTTCCAGGATAGAGGTAAAGTCTGCGTGCACACAAGGGCGAATGTAACACGTACATTACGGTTTCAAGTGAATCCATAATTTTCGATGCGGAGCATAAATTATGTGTAAAAATCTACTAAATTTGCAAAAAAATAGTAATCACTCTGTTTCAATTCAGATGACACACTTTCCTTATTAGTCCGTTCCAAAAAGAATGATACATTTCTACAAATGGAACTAATTCAACTTTAAACTCTTCATTTTACCCCTTAATGACAAACTTTTATAACCACACNAGACTATGGTAACAAAGATTTCATTTTGTGATTTTGCACTAGCATGCTGTCACATTTTGTTGATGTTGTTACTACTTGCGGCCAGTGCTTTTTTCATCTACTCTCTAGCCGAGGGTCTATAGGAAACAACCCTCTACCCTTCCAGGATAGAGGTAAAGTCTGCGTGCACACAAGGGCGAATGTAACACGTACATTACGGTTTCAAGTGAATTCATAATTTTCGATGCGGAGCATAAATTATGTGTAAAAATCTACTAAATTTGCAAAAAAATAGTAATCACTCTGTTTCAATTCAGATGACACACTTTCCTTATTAGTCCGTTCCAAAAAGAATGATATNTGACTTTTTGATTTTTGATTAAGAACTTAACATTTTTATATGGAATTGATTCCTATAGCTTGAATTGATCATATCAAATTGCTTATGGCTAGATTCGAGATATTTGGATTTGTGACGCAAGGACTTATTGGAGTAGAGATTTGTACCGTTTGAGATAAGTAATACTTCTAAACTTGGTTCTGAGGGTATGTGTCACGACCCGAAATTTGCATATCGTGATGGCGCCTATCTCAATACTAGGCAAGCCGATAACCTCAATAAATCACAATAATCTTTTAAGTTTGAAAACATAATAATTAGATTTAATAGAAAATCCCACAAACATTGATACAAATATACTCCCAAAATTCGGTGTCACTGAGTACATGAACATCTAAATAATAACATAGTGTGTCTAGTACAAACACTGTCTAGAAAAGTATAACAGTACATATAACTGAAAGGAAAGAGAGCCAAGGTCTGCAAACGCCAAAGTAGCTACCTCGATAGTCTCCAACAGATAAATCCCTGAAATCTAGCAGTTGCCATATTCGGAGGTACCTAGGTATGCACACGAAGTGCAGAGTATAGTGTGAGTACAACCGATTTAATGTACTCAATAATTAACAAGACTAACCTTTGGGATGAAAGTAATGACGAGCTCAACAAGTACAATCAAGTATAACAATAACAATACAGAAATGTAGGCATGCTTTCAAGTTCAACATTTAAACTCAGTACAAGTAAAAATAGATCAATTCTGAATGATATGAGGAATATGACATCTCTATAGCTACATGCCAATGTACGCACTATATATAATTCACCTCAATAGAAACCTCGTGCACCCATACTCTCAAAATACTCAATCACTCAGTATTGTATATAGCCAACCAGCCTATGGTGTGTGTGTGTGT